TCAGATATCTTATATATTATATGAGATATCTTATATAATTTATAAATATATTTATGTACGGCAGGCGTATGAATTTTCGAGTATAGGAAGCGGGCTAATTGTAATAACAATAGAGTAAGAAGTTCCGTTAGTATTTAAAGTCGTGCGTGCACGAGAAAAGTTATCGACAAGGGCGGAGACCATCTAACCAGTAATACGTAATTGTGTATAGTAAGATTAATCTTCAGTATAACAGTTCGTGCATTATATATGTAGTGTTCATATTTTAATAATGCGCTTCTCTTTTGTAGATTGTATGTTATTTGAAATAACTGATGTCATTTGTGGTGAATACTAATGAGGACATTTGTCTTGTTGTGTTTTATGTGTATAATAAATTTCGAAGATGGTCACCGCACATGACAGTCTCTATAATGTTTGATACAGAAATAATTTCATTGCAAATATTTGAGACATACGTTTTATTTTTTCGTGGTTGGTATTAGGGTGTCATCAGAAAATTAGAAGCCAAGTGTACATAAATGATTTATTTTCGATTGAACAGAGTGAATTAAGAAAATAAGATATCTTATATAATTTATAAGATATCTCATATAATTTTTTTTATAAGATATCACATATAATTTTTTTTATTAGATATCTTTTAAACTTTATAAGATAAATCATATACTTTATAAGATAAATTATATTCTTTATAAGATATCTTATATACTTTAAAAGATATCTTATATACTTTAGAAGATATCTTATAAACTTACGAAGATATCTAATAAAGTATATAAGATAATTCATATAACTTATACGATATGTTATAAAAATTAGATTATATATAAGATATCTTATATATTATATAAGATATCTCATATAATATATATGATATCTCATAAAGTAAATAAGATATCTTATAAAGTTTATAAGATATCTTATAAATATTTTTTTATATAAGCTATCTTATATACTTTATAAGATATCTCATATATTTTATAAGATATATTATATAGTTTAGAAGATATCTCATATAGTTTATAAGATATCTCATATAATTTATAAGATATCTTATAAAGAAAAGTATATGAGGTATCTTATGAATTATATTAGTATCTTATAAACTATATAAGATATCTTAAAAACTATATAAGATACCTTATAAAGTATATAAGATATCTTATGAACTATTTAAGATATCTTATAAACTATATGAGATATCTTATAAAGTTTATTAGATATCTTGAAGTTAGAATAAATAGTAAAACGGCTTGCTATTCACTGCAGATAAACTTCCATTTGAAAAGGTTCAGAATATGATTATGAAAAATATTGTTGGTGTCCATGGTAAGGCTTCCAACCTAGCTTTACGTACAGAACTGGAGCTTTATCCATTATATTCTATATCATATGAATTAATGTTTAAATATTATGTTAGGTTAACTGACATTGAAGTTGGTAACGACACAAAAATTGATCTATTAAGATCTTCATTCATAGAAGATAAACATTTGTATTCGCAGAAGAGCTCTTGCTGGAATCATTATATAAACTAAAAAGGTTACTTAATTTGGATTCACTTCAGGTATCATATATATAGCGTTTGATGATGCATTAAAAAACTTTTATAAATGCAAGATATTAAATCAACTTGAGCATATTAAATCTAATAACACAGGTTAACTCAGATTTTATAGTAAAATTTGCTGATTGTTCATTTATGACACAATGATTTGCTGATCATTTGACTTAAAAGCTTACCTAAGCCTCTAATACCAAAATATGAGCGATCACTTCTCACAAAAATTAGAATAAGAGCACATTCACTTGCCATTGAAACTGGGAGACACAGTAAACAAAACACTTTAGCAACGGAAAGATTCTGCAGATCCTGCGGAGATAAAGTAGAAGATGAAGTACACTTCCTTTTATATTGTCCCCTATATAAAAAAAATTTCGAGAGAAGTTTACTATTTTTCAAAATTTGATTAAAGATGATGATATCAAATCAGTAATCTATTTACTTAATCCAAATAATTTGGCTAAATCCAAAAACATATGCAATTATTTGAGACAAGCTTTTGAAGTTCACAATGACGTTTATCAGTTGGTCTACCATAAGTTATGTACTATACAAAATATAAAAGAGACTTTTAGTTATATATATATGATATATGTCATATCATTCATTGTCATTGATTTTCTCACGTTATGCATTATGCTTTATATTACGGATTACAAATGTGTCGAGTTTTGTGATTGGATAACAACACGGAGATGTCAGTATATATTCTGGAAACTGCCGGGGTATATACGACGTTTTTATCCCTATTTAGAACCTCAAAAATGTCATCATAACACCTGTTACTATTAACGTAGTCAAAAGCTATATAAGTTTTTTTTTCTAGTTCCAAGGCAGGTCTTCAAAAACGACTTGATGGTTTATCCAAATTTTGTACTAAATGGTGTTTAGAGGTCAATCTATCTAAAACCAAAGTTATTATATTTAACAAACCTGGTAAACTTTTAAAAGAATATTTTTATTTCGAAAAAGATACAATAGAATGTGTTAACAATTATAAGTATTTAGGTTTAAAATTTATATCTAGTGGACTTTTTAAGCAAGGAAAGGAAGAATTATACAAAAAATCACTAAAAGCTGTATTCAAATTGCAAAGATCTTTATCATCTTCCAATCCAAGTATTTCTACTCTATTACATATATATGACCATACAATAAAACCCATTTTAATGTATGGCAGTGAAATTACAGGTATGTTTAAAACTAGCTCTGCAGCATGCCAGAAAGAAAGTGAATATTTATTACAGCACATTTATATGAATGATTTTTTAGATAAACCCAATTTAAGATATATGAAGTATATATTAGGTGTAAAAAAAAAGTCTTCTGACCTAGCTGTGCTAGGAGAGCTTGGTAGATTCCCTTTATATTTTTCAGTTGTATTATCAATGCTGAAATATTGGTTTAGAATAAAAAAATATGAAAGATGGTTTACTGTATGATACCTATATGTGTAACAAAAACATTTTTAATAATAATATTGAAGGCTGGTATTCATCCATACATTACATTTTTAAAAAGCTGAATATTCATAATTTGGAGGTAAAGCTCAACTTTTTTATCAAGTCAGTTAAGCAAAAACTTTGTAATAGTTTTGTAAAATTTTAGAACACAAAAAGAAAAGATACAAAGAGTAGTAAATTAGATACTTATTTCAAACTTAAAACTTGTTTTTCGAAAGAAATGTATCTATCTTTAAACAATTTTCAGTTGAGAAGTGCCATATGTAAAATCAGAATCAGTGCACATGATCTCAAAATAGATAGAGACAGTTATAAAACTTTATATATAGAAAGAGACCAAAGGCTTTGTAAGAAATGTACTCTAAATCTGGTTGAAGATGAACAACATTTTATTACTAGTTGTCCAGCATACAATAATGATAGGGAGATATTTTTCAAGGAAATAAACTGTATCTGTCCCAATTTTATATATCTTTCAAATGAGGCAAAATTTGTTTGGTTATTTACCACTGAAAATTTATCTATATTTAAATATTTAGGGAGCTATATTATTACATGTCTAGATGTTAGACGAAATGTTAATTAATGTATGCAATAACAATGATAATTGTAATGATTTTATAGTTCTGATCCTGCCTGGAATTAAATGTATGTGATTTTTATAGAATGAAGATAATAACATCTGTCTGAACTTTTTAATGTTTCATTTTAATATATAAAAATGTTTTTCTGTTACAAATCATGATGTATTGTTTTATGTGTACATGTTATGCTGCCCATCAAGGGCCCTTGATTGGAATAATAAATATTCTTATTCTTATTCTTATTATACACTAAGGAATGTCAGAGGCTCACAGAGGGAAAACAATGACGTGCATCCGTCAATAATACATTTTTAATACAAAATCACGCAATTTACACTTCAAATACTTAAATCTAATGTTTTAAAGTGTTATTATAAATTATTACATAAAATTATTTCTACAGCAAATTACAAAATCCTTCACGTATGCGGAACAAATCAGGTTGGGTTTTTCAATATATGTGTTGTAAATAACAAAGCCACACACACACATACAAACACAAAACATGAAATCTAAAAACTTTACTGAAAACATTTTCTTAACGGAAAAAAAAATTGTCAAGATAAAAAAGGTGCATTTAAATGGCTTACTCAAAATATTAAGAAAAAATAAACATGTAATGAATATACATGCTGCATTGTGAATGTTTAACAAATACCTGCACTGGAAAAAAAAACATTAAGACAGGGGTAATCCGTAATATACAGAGGCGAATTTAGGGGGGGCAGGGGGCCCGCCCCCCCCCCCCCCCCATTTTGTGGGAAAAATTTGGTTGATTATATAGGGAATCACTGAAGCATGACTGGAGTGGGCCCCCTCTTAGGCAGTCAGTGGGCCCCCACTTGTGAAAATTTCTGGATCCGCCACTGATATATGTGTAATTCAAGTCTCAGACAGGGTATATACTGTGACATTCCCGTCTTAAGCCTTATATCCCCTTCGCCTTCGGCTCATGGGATATAAACTCTAAGTCGGGAATGTCACAGTAAATACCCTGTCTGAGACCTGAATAACATATAATATCTTATTTACATTATTTCTCATGTTATATATCATGTGTTGTACACTTGGATTACGCAATATTCAATCTTTCATATGTGCTTTATCCAATAAAGTATTTGAATATTTTAATTTGAAATTGAATTTGATAAAAGACTGAGTCAATGGATCAAAGGAACGATATAAGGACATAACCAAAATATGTAAACGAATATTCAACAGAACCTAGCAACTTATGATTACATAAGGGAAAGAAATTTTTTTAATTTTCCAGTGTTAATTTTTTGTTGTTGTTCTCCATGTGATTTAATTTTAATAGAACTAAAAAAAATAACGAATAAACGGGGTAAATTACAGATCAACGCCCCAAATCTCGAAGTGCGCAACTGTTAAAAGATAATTCATTATTTATTTAACATTTAGAAAATAGGAAATAAATTAGAGGTTCGAGAAGGTTAAAATATCACCCGGATGTATATAAAGACTTGCTCTTCAAACTTGCGCAATACTGAAGTGCGATAATACCTCTCATTAAGTGAAGTAAGTATTTACTGTATATTTTGTAATTGATATGATATATAATCTATTAATTTGTACACAGTGTATATTTTTTAAACAAGAAATGCCATTTGATATGTTTTTATAGTTTAGTCCATTTAAACCAAGGCATATACACACCTTATAAAATATTTTTCATAAGGGAGAGAAAACAATGAGAATTTTAAATATCCTACTATATGATTGTGTTTTGATGTGTGTATTCATTCGATGGTGTCTATTGTGCTATAGTTTTGTAGCAGAACAATGTCGGTTATTAATTTGCCACTGGACGTTGAGCAAACAACGATTAATCAATTAATCGGTTATCGTATTGATCACTAGAAATGGGAATCGACTATTCTATAGACATGTTATTGAAATTGTATCTACACAGAAACTTCTGAATAATATATTAGACAAATATTCACAGTTCTATTTGGGTATATATAGAAATTGATTTTACAAACATGTTAAGGGTCGGCTGGAAGTATTTTTTATATCTTTCCTGTTTTTTCCCCCGACGTATTTTTAGATTTTTATTTAATTTATCAGAAATTGAAAAAGTTTTATGATTGTTAACAGGGACAGTCTATACTAATATAGACTGTCCCTGTTGTTAAACGACACTTTGGAAAACTTCTAGCAATCGATAGTAATCATATTTCGGCGTACATTTACAAAAATCTGTGGGATATATTACTAACCAGACGGAAATGTACTAAAGTTACGGAAATTGTGAACAATTTTAGTTCCTTGAAAACAATGTGTATGTTCATAACTGATAACACATTGATTTATTGAGGCATATTGTTGGTTTACACTGAAACGCACATATTGATTGATAATCAACTTCTGAAGATTATTGAATCACTTACACTGTTCTACTGCAGTAATAGTCCATTAGTAAGAATAATTTAAAATGTGGAAATTGTGATATACACCTCATGAAAGTCTACAAATGAGTATTTTTGTCAACCAGTTGCATAATGAGTGTAGATGTTAGAAGAGAACCGAAAGATACCAAAGGGACATTCAAACTCACAAGTCGAAAATAAACTGGCAACGCCATGGCTAAAAAAGAAACAGACCAACAGACAAACAACAGCACACAAAAGTAATATGATTAATAATTACCATTTACTTCCTTACTTCGGAAGATAATTTGTATGCATTTTACAATAGATTACAATAGAGATGTGTCTCCCTTATCGTGTTATAGTGCGCTCTATAGAATTTATATCTCACTCGGTAAGGGTCTGTATGAAAAAAATCATTTATGAATTTCAAAATACTTTCATATTCTATATATGAAGGATATAAAAGAAATCATATATATATGCTTTTGACCATAGAATCAAATGTTGCGGCATTCTTAAATGGTTCAGTACTTAACTTATAATAACTTCCGTTTCTCATTTAATGATTGGCCTTTTTATATTAGTGTAATAAACAGAAGTATTATATTTTTACGGTGAAATTTACAGAACTTATTATCTAATCTAAGTCATTGACAATCTTCAAATTAAGCATATTCTCATATTCCCCCCTCCCCGGGCCTCACTATTTTCAATATTTTTTTTTATCCAGGTGGTTCTTTAACTTCAACTACCAACAAAGCAAACTGTTTTGTGGTTTTATCCTTGCCAAGTCGACATACATGTGATGTATATTTAATTTCTTTTAGGTATGAAAATTTCTATTTAATAAATGTTTGCACTTAGCTCTTACAGTTCACTTGCATATTACGACTGTTGACATTTTGGAAGCAAAAACGAAAGTAGAATTATTATATTCTCTGTTTAAACTGCTTATCTATCTTAGACACAATGAATGTCTGACTCTCAGAAATACTGGTTTCAACAGCAGTCACAGTTATTCACCTTCTTCCTTTTTCACACAATTTAATGTACTATAAGCTTATCGATTGTTATTTTACATATAATACAGTATTATATGGTTCTGTTATTATCCTGAAAATGTGTTAAATATTCGCAAATTACGTAAATCAAAAGATATCTTGAGGGCAACATATAGTTCAACAATAGGCTGATGTCTATATAGTTCAACAATAGGCTGATGTCTATATAGTTCAACAATAGGCTGATGTCTATATAGTTCAACAGTAGCTATATAGGCTGATTTCTGTATAGTTCAACAATAGGCTGATGTCTATATAGTTCAACAATAGGCTGATGTCTATATAGTTCAACAATAGGCTGATGTCTATATAGTTCAACAATAGGCTGATGTCTATATAGTTCAACAATAGGCTGATGTCTATATAGTTCAACAATAGGCTGATGTCTATATAGTTCAACAATAGGCTGATGTCTATATAGTTCAACAATAGGCTGATGTCTATATAGTTCAACAATAGGCTGATGTCTATATAGTTCAACAGTAGCTATATAGGCTGATTTCTGTATAGTTCAACAATAGGCTGATGTCTATATAGTTCAACAATAGGCTGATGTCTATATAGTTCAACAATAGGCTGATGTCTATATAGTTCAACAATAGGCTGATGTCTATATAGTTCAACAATAGGCTGATGTCTATATAGTTCAACAATAGGCTGATGTCTATATAGTTCAACAATAGGCTGATGTCTATATAGTTCAACAATAGGCTGATGTCTATATAGTTCAACAATAGGCTGATGTCTATATAGTTCAACAGTAGCTATATAGGCTGATTTCTGTATAGTTCAACAATAGGCTGATGTCTATATAGTTCAACAATAGGCTGATGTCTATATAGTTCAACAATAGGCTGATGTCTATATAGTTCAACAATAGGCTGATGTCTATATAGTTCAACAATAGGCTGATGTCTAACCAATATGTCAAGCTCTAAATCGTCCCGAGTCTATACATTTGTTAATGATTAAAACAGAAACTACCAAAGATCTGCCATCAACACCCAATTCTCCAAATAACAAAAATAAAACAACAAAATAAGGACACGGCATTAAACAACCACTGATGCATGAGGTTCCTGAATTGAGACAGACACATGAATATGCGGGATTCCAGTATTTTCAGTTGTTTTAGGTATTAACCGTCTCACTTTTGATTTCGATCAGCGAAGTAGCAAAAGGTACACATATGAATGTAAAAGCCGGGTTCTTCAGGCTTTTATTAATAAATAACTGCAACAGTGTGATACCGTTTCAAAAAATTGCTCCAGGTAAAAAGAAGAAACTAAAACAATTGAAATCGCTGTCCTACACTTGGTTTTGTGTATGTTATTATGACAACATATTTTGTTAAAATAATAGCATTCAAAGAAGATTCGCTACTCATTCGTTGATTTCAGTAGAACAAAAAGTAAACGAAAGCATCTTACGATTTGTTATACTGGAAACTACTCGATTGGTAGTAAAATTGTTATTAAAAAAAGTAAGTTAATATTCCACTATAATTGTTGGAATTTTATTTTGTGCCATTTTCAATAATTTATGATATCAACGAAAAATTGCCCATTTATGACTAACCTTCGTAAAATTTGGTTTGTTGATTAGTCTGTTGCGAGTAACACTGACGGAATTTGTTTTCTTGGATATGCATCGGATATTAAGAGGTTTTGTCAAGTACGTGTTAGGCTCCTGTGAAATTTCAGGTATAAGCCTTTGCATTCTTAGAGCTCTCACAACACCGAAGCAAAATTTGAACCAAATTCAAGAAACCAGCTTAGTTAACTGTAAAGGTGATCCGAAAAAGTTTCACATTGTATTGTCAATTCTATAATTTAGAAATTTCTTGTAGGTCTGGGCGAGTTGTTAAAATATCACTTACTAAAACATTGGTTACCGTGCTAGTTTTCGAGAAAATTGAGGCTGAACATGTCGGACTTTAGCATTTTTGTAAAAAGTAGTTAAGCAAAGTTATAAAATTTTTACAGTAGATATTCTTCTCATAAATTAATAAGATTGGACTAATTTTGAAGCTGTTGTAAGTGGAAATAAGGGTAAGCATAAATCTGTATAAGAATGATTGGTTTATAATTTAAGCTATGCATAGTAGCATATGTAGAATTATAGGGACAGTTGACACCCTAAGCCTTGTTAAATTCCATTCCCGATCAGGATTCAAAATAAAACCAAAAACTACTGTTTACTTTTCAATTTACTATGTATTCTACTGTAAATACCAGTTCAGAAGTACTGGCTACTTAGCGGGTGGTGTCTTCGGAAACTGTGTCAACCAGCAACGGCATATTCATGTTGTCTTTTAGTTTCATTCAGCAATAACAAAATAAAGTGTTTTAAAAAATAAAGCGTTATTCATTTTTTGAATCTGGGCCATTTTATCGGACTTTCAATATTTTAAACATAAGAAATAAGAGAGAATCTGTAAAATGACAAAAGTCGACAAAATGGTATTTCTAGCTACTAATCAATCTAATTAAAATATAGAACTCTGATTTCGTTATCTCTTATGGATTATGGAGATAATGAAATCAGAGTTCTATATTTTAATTAGAGTGAGTTACTCGTCGAACGAAGTTCTGGATAAACATGAAAACTTTCTCAAATTTTGATATATATATAGATTGTTGATGTGGTTCATAAGTGTTTCTCGTTTCCCGTTTTTTATATAGATTAGACCGTTAGTTTTCCCGTTTGAATGGTTTTACACTAGTAATTTTTGGGGCCCTTTATAGCTTGCTGTTCGGTGTGAGCCAAGGCTCCGTGTTGAAGACCGTACTTTGACCTATAATGGTTTACTTTTATAAATTTTGACTTGGATGGAGGGTTGTCTCATTGACACTCATACCACATCTTCTTATATCTATGTATGTAAATTGAGAATTGAAAACAAAATCTTAATGTGTATTCACTATGAATAATTATATGTTGAAAACATACATACAGACGAAGGAGGTACTTTAACGAACAAAATAAACGCCAATAAACATTAAATGGGAATTATTCACCATTTTCTATCTGATTTCATTTTTTATTTGTAATTAGTTTTACCGCTTACCCATTGTGGTTAGTGTTCAATTGGTTTATATTTAGGGCTCTTAGAAGATGTAGACCTTCTTTTTTCATCATATATGCAAACTTATATGTTTGGTGTAGAAGTTTTAAAGGCTACATGTAGTGATTTATTAATGAACTCTGTAATACTAGTAGATAACATATCAGAAAATGAAGCCACCCGGAAAATATCAATTAAAATATAGAAAATGCCCTTCAAGAAAACATTGGGATTGTGTTCCTGAACAAGATGTATTTTGTGAAAGTTTTAATCAAACTATAAATCCTTAGTATTTAAACATGGTTATCCAAGTTAAGAGTTTGACTCTCGCCGTTTGAAAGATATTCAATTTTCTCATTTCATGCATTTAAAATTCAGTTTTACAGTTTGACAATTAGGGTCGACCTCCTATTACAGAAATGGAAATGTCATCAGTCTTGATTTGCCTTTTTTCGTATTGAATATTTTGATATTTGAAAAATTCGAACTATAAATAACTGCGACAGTTTTGACAGACATTTGCATAACAACAAATACATTTTAAGAAACATATTTTTAATCACACTATATGGTTTTAAAATATACTGGCGAAATAACGCAGAAAGTCATACATCCCAAGTTGTTTGGTTTTAATCATTCACAAGACCCGTAACTTTTATTAAGAATTCGCCTTTCCTTATATACATTTTAGATCATAAAACACAAAATTTGTTTTTATAGGTGTTTTCACCAAATTTGATAAACAAAAAATCGTAATAGTCTTCAGCGTTATTTAAGGAATGACTGTAATATTTTTTCTGTCTATCATGGAAGAAATAACATAAAAAATATGGTGCACACTGAATAACCGGCGTAGCGGGTTATTTTAAAGTGTGAACCACATTTTTTATGTTATTTCGAATAGACAGAAAAAATATTAAAGACATTTCTTATAATTTAATTCTAAAAAGGAGTAAATATGATAAAAACGTTGATGACGTCGCGGTCACATGACAAAATCATGTCTATGAGCTGATAGACAAAACACTTTCAGCAAATCAGAAGACGTGTTACATCCAAAATTAAAGTATTGCCAGATGGAAAATTGAAGATATGTCATTCTCCATTTGACTGATTCTTAGATAGTATTATACCAAATTTATCATTTTGATGTGAGTTTTTAACTCCTAATAGCTGTAATCATAGTTTTATTGTTTCACTGTATTTGGAATATAAGAGCTTTATGCTTTCATTATGTGGATAGGTAAAATGTATATAATTCTGAAAATTACATTCGAATTACAATCATTGTTTTCAGTTTGACTCGCAGGAGCCGTGTTTGTTTAGAGAAAGTTAGTTAACCTTTAATTGTAAACGATCAGATCATCAATTATAATTGTGTCCCAATTGGCTAAGCATTTTATTGAAAGACAACTTACGAAGTTTACGACAGGTGAAGACAAACGCCGAATTGGCAATTGCTCATGCTTCTTTTTACCAGATGAGCCAAAAGGAATTCCAAATTTGTTCCAGTTCTGTCAGGTAACATTATAATTGTAAAAATTTATTTTCTTACAGGTGTAAATCATGTCTTCGAACACATTAAAACAAAGAATACTTGTCTGTGGGGGAGGAAATGGTGCACATTGTTTATCCACGTTAGCTGCCTCACAGAAAAAATCAGAGGTACATGTTCTGACTTTATTTCAAGACGAGGCTGAACGTTGGACAAAACTGTTGGAGGATTCCGATGTAAAATTGACAATAACCGATCTAGATGGAAGCCAGCGAGAGCTATTTGCAAAGCCAACCCTGATAACGAAGGATTCAGAAATAGCGATGGCTGGTGTTCAAATCATTTTCCTTGTCGTTCCAGCTTTCGCTCATGCACAATATTTTACGGCTATAGCACCACACCTTCAACCGAATACACTGATTGTTGGGCTTCCTGGGCAAGCTGGATTTGAATTTCAATGTAGAAGTATACTAGGTAACAAAGCGAGCACGTGTACTATAGCATCATTAGAATCACTGCCGTGGGCGTGTCGTATATTAGAATTCGGTAGACACGCTCAAATCCTTGGGGCAAAAGAATCTTTAGGTATATCCTACATTAAAGGAAAGTCGTGTAAATTACCCTTTCCAGAAGTCGAGTCCATTCAGGAAATTCTTGGTAAAAAACCCATAATTGAAAAAATACAGAACTACATTGCAATCAACTTGATGGCAAAATCTATGGTCCATCCTCCCATGCTATACGGAAAATGGGGAGACTGGGATGGAAAACCTTTACAGAAAGAACCATTATTTTATCAAGGTATAGATGAAAGACAAGCAGGATTGTTATCTAAAGTCAGTGACGAATTGTTAGCTACTGGGAAAATGTTGGAAGAACTCAAAGAAGGCATAGACATGTCACAAGTAATACATATTTTTGATTGGTATAAAACTTACTATACAGATCAAATAACTGACAAAAGTTGTCTAATGATGGCCATGAGAACGAATAGTGCGTATGATGGACTTGTTCATCCCATGATTAAAACTGAAGAGGGCTACATTCCAAATTTCAATCACCGATACACAACCGAGGATATTCCATATGGTCTTGTTGTAATGAAGGGCATTGCTGAAATTGCCGGAGTAGATACTCCCGTCATGGATGAAATTATTGCATGGGCACAACAAAAACTAGGCCAGGAGTACATCGTGGGATCGAAGCTTTCAGGGAAAGATGTTGACACAGCCAGAGCACCTCAGTCGTATGGACTAAAAACAGTCGATGAACTTTTTGATACTTAATGACCATTGAATTGTTAAGTTTTCGTGTGCCATAATGTTAATTAATTTATTTTATTTTTTTATAGGTAATATATTTTATGACCAGTATCATATTTTTTGTTTATGCTACCCTATACAAAAACATATTACATTTTTATTACAATAGATTATAGTATCTTAGCATTAACAGACTACATGTATAATTATTTATGTAAATCAGCATCAAATTCCCTCTTTCTTGAATTTAATAATTGCAAAATGTTTGTGCAATACTATGCTTATGGTAAAAGGATAAACAAGTAATTATCAGCCAATCTGCATTACTTTCTTAGTTGCAATGGTAATGGTTTAATATCCGAGCTATTTTCATATTTCCTCTATGTGCTACATGTATAAGTTGCGGATTGTTATTTGTTATACTTGGGATGTTGTAGTTATCTCCCTTGTATCAGATATTTTATTAAAGTTTGATTTTAGAATACTTTTTGCAGTCTTTGTTTTATTTCGCACTTCACTTGTTTTGAAAGAAAGATATGTCAAGATCGTTGACAAAGCGAAAGGGTAACAACCATTGTTTGCCGGCAACAATGGTCGGATAAAATTTCAAAAATTGTCTTATTTATGTTTATTATTCTTAATTTCCAAAGACGATAACAAATTTATTTTGATGAAAATTCAATTCATAAAAATAGTCAGACTTGATATTTCTTGAATAACTAGATACCTTCAAAATGCACACAGCTATAGTTACTTGTTTTGCGGAAGAAAAACTTTTAGCACCGCTCTAAATAGATAAACTAATTTAAAATTAGATTTATAACAGAGTATTACTTTTAATCTAACCATGCAAAACCAACAGGCTAACTGAAGGTAAGTTAGTATATATTAAATAAGCATAAACATATATACATACGGCAACATACATGCATATAAATCAATAACATTGACCAGCAAACGTGAAAAGAAGAAATACCACCATTTAATCGACTTTCGTGTACAAAGACAAAATACATCATGAAAATGAATGCCTTTTTCTAAACGCATAGTATGGAACACTTGAGTATAGTAATGCTGAATTAATAAACTTGAGAGTTTACAGATAGAGATTGAAAGGATCAAGGCTAGCTTCTATAAATGTATTGTAGAATGAAAATTTCGAAGATTCTTTTCTTGGCGTAGTTTTATAAAACAACTTACCCTATCGCAACTTTAGTTCAAATATACTACCCAAATGTCTCAATGCATTTATTCTTATAATTACAAAGAATTCCAAATCCTTTACAACCGATAATTATTAATGATAAATAATTACTATAGAAAAGCTTAAAAACATCATAATTGTATATCGTGCAATGTGTTGATAAAATGAATAGATTTGTATAGCTTTTCATCAATAAAATAAAATTTTAAGATTGGAAACGCGTCTGATGTGTTTTCGAGTCCTCCAAGTTAAAAGAAATTGTTATTTTTCATAAAATGTACATTTCTTTGGAAAATAATTGATGTTTTCTTCAAATTTTATTTTTATACCACCGCTCCAAAAGAGGGGAAATATGGTTAACATCTATCCGTCCGTCAGTCTGTACTTAACACATTTCTGTCGAACTTTTTCTCAGCAACTACACCTTATATAGCTTCTCGATCATTTGACACCAATCTTCATCTGGTAATGCAATAACATGTGACACGTTATCAATTACTTCGGTGTTCTTCTTCCTGTTTGCCAAATTCGTATAACCTATAATTATCTAACCCCAAAACATGTCCGAAGGTGAGAGCTTTATATAACACTTTTCCAGAACAAAGGATAGACAAGATTGTTACCGGTAGAAACAATACAGACATTGACAAACGAAATAATACAAAGTATAACACTGAAAACTAAAGCAAAATGCAACACGACTTCCTTTTAATGCAAAACTAGCGATAAACTCCGGTGCTCCAGAAGATTAAGCAGTTCTGCACCACTAGTTACAACCATCGCTTTGCTAGTTTAAAGTAAAAATTCAGTGTTGTTACAACCCAGGAAGAGGACGGGATTGTGGCTGCAACAAGTGGAACATGTCTATATATGTGTAGGTGTGTTTTTCTGTTGTATCATTGGTTCACTATTCGAGATTATAAGATTGGGTTGGGTACACTTTTAACTAAGCCGTATGATAACCTTGTAGTGTCAGTGTGCGAAATTGTATTATGAATTGCTGTCTCGTGTACGTTTACCTTACTTTTTCATTCTAAAAATGTCCGAAAATATAAGTGTAAATCACCATTCACAGAAGAAAACCTGTTGCAGCTACACAGAACAGTAAGATACAAAGGTAATTAAAATTAACCCGACAAACTTTGAACCGCCATCATCACAAATGTTGATCGGTAATCCGAATACATAACCAAAAAAAAAACATGTCAGAAAGTCAGCAACGTAACCCTTATTTGAAAACGGCAGTAAATGTTACGGGTTTAATGAAAGTTTTATTTAAGCACTGAACAATACGATTATAAGATATTATTTTGTATAAACGTTATCAAGCATTAAATTGGTGAAATTTTAATCCAGTGAGTCGCTCATTGTTCTTCAATCATTTTCAATTTTAGGGGAAAACTAATTCCAGTATGGAGAGAGTAATATCGCCTATCAACTGTATCGAGCATCCAAAATTGCTCTTGAGTTATTATTGTTCTAGTCACGATACAGTATTCTGTGATAATTGCAAAACTGAAATACATGGATCTTGTGCTGAAGTCCACACTGTTAAAAATGCATCCAAGTCAATCAGTGATGGTGACATTGTAAAAGCCCTTGTATCCCGTATAACGGAAGCAAAGGAATCACTATCAGGTACAACCGACAAACTTGAAGACAACATAGCTACTTTAAGCCGACAATATGACAGAATTAAGCAAAATATTTTCACTGCACGGCAATCTATCAATGAGTATTTTGATTCTCTGGAGGCAGAATTGACCAATGTTGTGCATGAACGCTGCATTAAGGGCGTAGAAGAGAAAATAGTAGAACTGGAGAGAAGGAATTATACTTTAGACCAATGGGAAGACGATCTACAGTTAGCCATGCGCAATGATGATGAAGAAATGCTGTTTACAGTAGTAAAGATCTTAAGTAAATTACATAATGATATGGACTCATATTTAAATGACATTTTTAAAGAAATAAAAATAAAGCATGTTAGATGGACCCCAATTAGAACAGACAAGGCGTCAATAGTATCCTTTGTTGGCAAAGTGTCTTTGAGCGAAATGTCATCCACAATACAGAGACCAAGCTCTGGTAAATTTACGAAAGCCTTGACTCGCGAATCAAGTCGGGTTTCTCCAAGGAGCATTGGAGCCGTTAATATCACACAGGAAAGTAAAACAGAGCAAGGTCTAGAGAAGGTGTCAATAAAAACTAAACAGGGATGGGATGAGATTTCTAGTAAAGTTAAGGACGAGGAAGTAGAAATCACCGGTGTTAATGCGGGCTTAAATCGGGCAAGTACAAAAAACGACATGAAATCAACTGAAACGTCCACGGTTATTGATTTAGAAGATGGAAGTTTGAAAGGCACCAACGTGTCTAATGACACAAATAACCGAACGGAAATAAAAGTAGATGAGAAAATTTGCCAAGAAAACGATAGTGAGCAAAACCAACACATTGGGAATTCACTTAACCAAGAGAAAGGCGATACTGTTCCTGATGGTGGCAGAAAAATGACAAGTACGAGAGGGTCTAGTCGATGTAAACCTGAGCCAACCATTTATAGTGCAAAGTCTAAATTTGAAGCAACTAACTTAGGGCGGAAAAGTAGCACAGAGATGCAGAGAGGATTATTTTTGAGAAATGATGGTATGCTATTCATGGACAAGACTAACAAACACATTTTTATATGCAACAAAGAAGGGCAGATGCTGCATAAAATTAGCCTCAATTATGAACCCCTGGATGTTACAATGTTGGATGAGGGTCGTGCAGTGGCAACTATAGGAGACAATGGAATTCAAATAGTCAACATACACAGCCTACGAAAAGAAAAAGCTCACGATGTCGGGGGATTCTGTGGAGGGATCACATCATATAAAGGACAAATAATTGTAAGTGTAGATAAGAAGTTGCGTTTACTCGACGCTTTGGGGTATACACTGCGTCGTTTACAACATGATGGGAGCGCCTCATTTGTCTGCTCAGATAATGCGGGTAAGATATATTATACCGACTCAATGGATCATGCCGTTCATTGCATAGCATGGTTTGGAATCCCAGTGTTTACCTACAGCAACAAGGGCTTAAAGTGTCCAATGGGAATCGTTGTTGATTCTGATTGGTTCGTCTACGTGGCTGGGTTTGAATCGTGTAATGTGCAAAAGCTGTGGCCAAATGGAAGATATCATTCTGACTTTTTGACTGAAAAGGATGAATTGCATGAACCATCATCTCTTGCATACAACGAGAATGAACATGAAATTTTAGTTATAAGTGACAATAACCAAACTGTGGAATTGTATGATCTGAATGATGGCATTCGACATCAACAGTAGGAGTTTTCCTCATGAAAGGATTTGTATAATTTTCAAACTTCTTTGGTCTCTTGAACTTTAACAAAAATGGCAACTCTCATTCTATGTGAAGATATTAATGTTGTTTTGTTTCCAGTATATTAAAAAGGGAAAATGTGTACATTAGCACAGACATAAATATATAACCATGATAAATGTCCCTCGTATATATATATTTTTAATCAATCTGCATACAGTATAATAGTAACTGGAATTCTTGAATAAATATAAAAATAGTCATTCCAGGAATTTGTCTTTGCCATAATTCACTTTTTTCAAACCCAAGTCATTCCAAATGACAATCAATTATTAGATTAATGGGAAAGGGTTAATTGATCTTAATTGTTTGACAATCTGACAAAAAACGATAACGATATATTTTTTTTTCAATTTGACAATAACCGGGACAACTAAAGGAGTGAAAAAATGATACGGGAAAAATCGTTCTTTGGCACTAGCTAGCGAAAGCTAAATAGCCTCGTTTGACGAATGACAACAATTAATCCAGGCCCATATGAGGGTCATGATTGCAAACTAGAGATTCCAAGAATGCAGTGTCATTCAGTGGCATATGCACATGATAGTTTTTGTTTCTGAAATAAATTTTTGATGCTTTGGCAGTTGAAAGTGGATAAAAATGCAGAAAAAAAGACCCTCTTCTTGACACTTTATTCAGAAAATGTTTGGGAACGGGAGTTCCCATATCAGCTGTATCCGGAAGATTAATAAAACTGCTGAGAAGCAAACATTTAACATGCACATTTTTTTTTTGTTATTTGCATTCATTTGAGCCCCTATTTAATAGCAATTCAACAAAATAAGTTGAAATAAACCTCCCAAGTATCACATTCAGAAAATTCAAGGATTCTCCACATACGGCAGGTTCTTAAGTTGGTGTTAGTTTTGCAATGTTACCGAAAAACAGACATATGGCCTCTTCCGAACATTTGAAAGTCCCTACTATGTACTGGTTACCTAAATTGCACAAAAAACCATTTAAATTCCGTTTCATCTCCGCATCTAGTAAGTGTTCTACTACTAATCTATCCGTGCTTCTAACTACCTCCCTTACTACTATCAAAGAACTTGTTATTAACTTTTGTAATAAAGCTTATGAAAATAATGGTATTAATTATTTTTGGAGTGTTAAAAATTCTTTAGAGGTTTTAGACAAAATACATGCTTTTGATGGTCCTTTTAATTCTGTTGACAGTCATGATTTTTCTACTCTCTATACTACACTTCCACACAATCTTATCAAGAAAAAGTTTTCATATTTAATTAAATGGTCTTTTGAAAAATCTCATTACAAATTTATTTGCTGTAACTCGTTTAAAGCCTTTTTCTGTAACGAAAAAGGAAAGTATGCTAGATACACTTACTGGAAATGTGAAGATATGATTGAAGCTTTAAATTTTCTCCTGGACAACATATATGTACGTTTCGGCGATAGAGTGTATCGACAAGTAGTAGGTATTCCTATGGGCACTAACTGCGCCCCTTTAATAGCAGATTTATTCCTGTATTGCTATGAATCTCAGTTTATGACCAAACTCAGTAAAGACACGTCATTGATACATTTGGTTGATACATTCAACAATACCTTCCGTTATCTAGATGATATTTTTTCGTTAAATAATCCAGAGTTCTCTAAATATACTACCGAAATTTACCGAATAGAACTTACTTTAACTAAATCTAACATAAACAGCAGTAGTTGTCCTTTTCTGGATTTGGACATTTCAATCTCTAAAGGAAAACTCCATACGAAAATTTACGACAAAAGAGACGATTTTTCATTCCATATTGTTAATTTTCCTTTTTCAGACGGCGATGTTCCTTTGGCTCCATCATACGGTGTATATATATCCCAACTCGTTCGTTATGCCCGTGTGTGTAGTAATGTCATAGATTTTAACGAACGTAATCAATGCATCACTGGTAAATTATTAAATCAAGGATTTCGTTACCATAAATTACGTAAAACATTTTCTAAGTTCTTTCATAGATACAAAGATTTGATTAGTTAATTTGGCTGTACTTGTAGAAAACTCATTAAAAACGGTATTTCACATCCTAAATTTTACGGTAATATTGTACTTAAAGCGCGGAAATCACTATGAGATCCGTGTAAACTCATCGAACCTTTAAACAAACTTATTAGTAAAGGTTATCTTACCAATGTTGTAATTAGATCTTTGAATATAGTTTACATTGGCACTAATATCGATTTTGTCATCAGCAAATTAAAACATGACTAAATTTGTATTTTTTTCAAGTGGGATGTATAAAGACACACCCACGTTCGTTTAGATCTATAAAGAGGTTAAACTCTTAACTATCCTACTGTCTGTCGATACATTATTTTTTTTTGCATTGCACTAGTCATGTCTTCTTTGACTGTCCATGACGTTAAAATACTAAATCCCTGGGATGTGTTTTAGTTGATTTTAGTCTCTGATGCATGATTTTTTATTATTAATTGTTTTGGCTTTTAACTAGCTGTCAGTAACTGCGAGTACTCTCAAATCGTACTTTCTTGTTTATTTGACCTGTTGATACTAATTGTATTGCTTTTTTGTTATTTAATGTTATTCAGGGTTATATCTGGTCTATATACCAGCTTTGATAAGTGTTTGGTATAACTATAAATTTTCACTTCGTACTATGAACATCAAAATTATTTATTTTGTAAAAATATTTCCTTTCTCTATTGGTACTGTACACGTATACCTAACAACAAAATTATTTTCATTTACCTGTCTTTAAAGTTATTGCAAATGGCTGATATTTTTGTTCGAGCATATTGTTTTTCTTTAATTGTTTAACATTTCTTACCGATATAATATGTTACTTTTATTATTCTTCCCTTAGTTTATTTGTTTTGTATTTACATTGTGTCATAGGTCAAATTTATTTGTTCAGTGTATGTTCAATGGTGTTAATATGTCCTTTGATTGAGTTAAGCTATTTCAGTTGATATTTTATAGTGTGTCTTTCTATGTTGTGATGTTACACTATTGTTTCAGAAAAAGGGTGAAGGTTTGGTACCATTAAAACGTTTAAACCCGCTGCATTTGTTTGCACCTGTCCTAAGTCAGGAATCTGATGTTCAGTAGTTGTCGTTTGTTGATGTGGTTCATAAGTGTTTCTCGTTTTTTATATAGATTAGACCGTTGGTTTTCCCGTTTGAATGGTTTTACACTAGTAATTTTTGGGGGCCCTTTATAGCTTACTGTTCGGTGTGAGCCAAGGCTCCGTGTTAAAGACCGTACTGTGACCTATAATGGTTTACTTTTATAAATTTTGACTTGGATGGAGAGTTGTCTCATTGGCAGTCATACCACATCTTCTTATATCTATATATGAAATATAAATTCAATATGTAATTTGCTCTAATATGAACCCCTGAAAATGAAAAAAAGACGTGGAACCCAAAACAATAAAACGAAATGACCATGAGTTCCCACTGTAAAATCTTAATCTGTGATTATGTAAAGCAGGTAAGCGATATTAAGGCTTATAACGCTAATGAAGAATATTGATGTTCAAAAAACACAATTATCTGTTTAATGAAGCAGAAAAGTATCATTTCCTTGAATTTTCTTAATCCAAGGGGTGTTATTGAATCCATGGTATAGAGTATAAGTATATTTGGTATCTGCACATACTCGTTGCATAATGAAACCGAGCAGAAAATTGTCAATTTTATGATAATGTCAAAGATCAAGAAAATATTTGATATACCAGATATATAGATTCCACCACTGCATCAAGTGTAATACGATATTTCTCCACTCGAGACAGTTAAATTTTAAAATTTAAAACGCGAGGTTTGCCGAGCTTTTTAAATATTTAAATTTAAGTGTTGAGAGTGGAGAATTATCGTAATGCACGAGGTATAGTGGTGGAATCTGTTTCTCTGATGATTTTAATAGATATAAAAACATGTGGTATGAGTGCCAATGAGACAACTCTCCATCCAAGTCACAATTTGTAAAAGTAAACCATTATAGGTCAAAGTACGGCTCACACCGAACAGCAAGCTATACAGTCCGCCAAAAGTTAAGCACCACCTATCTTTGTTGCATCGAAAAAAAAATTCATTTAAAAAAACCAGTTAATCCTCGGAAAAGAGAAAATATTCATGTAGCAATTTTGCTAACATATGCCATAAACAAACCATAAACTTAAGTTTGGTCACTGATGCAAGTTCTATGCATTTTAATTTTGCGTTCATAGAAATAGTGAAAATTACACAAATCAGAAACGGAATTTAAGTTTTACTTTGATTTTATTTTTTTACAATAAGTAATCACCCAAAATCATTAAAAGTCTCTACAAATAATCTATGGTATGTTCGGCAAATTTAATGTCAATATTTAAGTCAATAGGATGTGTAACCACCTCTCTTCCGGTACAGTTCCATAACACAGCGTTTTTACTTGAGCAAATTTATTCCATTCATCAACAATTGCCCCTCTTAAATCGCCAAGATTTTGCAAAGGTGGATCTCTGCGATTGAGATTTCTGCCAATGGCATCCCAGACATGTTCGATAGGGTTCAGGTCTGGAGACATGGAAGGCCAAAAGATAGTGTCAATGGCTTCTTGATCTTTGTAATCGGTTACAATCCTTGCCCTGTGTGGTCTAGCGTTGTCGTCCATGTACGAGGGTCTTGACGCAAGTTGGGGATTCTCAAAATGTGGGATTACAATGTTTCTAAGCACCAAATCCCTGTATGTCTGTCTGTTCATGTTACCCTGCAAAATATGCATACCCAGCTTACAGCAGTATGAGAAGAAACCCCATACTGTAACACCACCATCAACGATTGCTGTTGTTGGGTAATTGTTGTTTTGGTGATAAGCAGTTTTATTTTCCCCGCCAAACTCGTATTCTGCCGTCTATTGGTCGTAACAGAAACCAACTCTCATCTGACCAATGAATATTTTGCCAGGTTCTCATGTTCCATTGTCGATGGTCATTAGACCTTTAAAACCTGATTATACGGTGCTTGGCTGTTAGGGCACGTCTTTTGATCAGACGACGTGCTCTTAGGTAGCCTCTATGAAGTCGACGGACCAATGTTCGAACAAACACGTTCTCATCTAAAATTAGAAATTCTCATTAACGGTCATTTGCCATAATTCGTACTCAAATAGGTCGAATTATCGCTCATAAGACAAACTTGTGCAAAAACGAGAAAAATAAAAGAAAAACACGTTTTTCTTTTTATC